TGCAACCAAAAATATGGGTTCATGGGCTCAACGTAGGGTTTCAAGTTTAGGGTTGAAATTTATTGTTGACGGTCTGTTGTTAAGCAGAGGAATCGGGATCTTGCGCCGGTGTGACACGAAAGCTTGTGCTGCAACGGCACTGCTCCTCGGAACGGTTAATATTTTGATTCTGTAAAAAAACATCTTACAACAACATAAACAACGTCAAAACAAGGTTTCGGGACCAGTGCTGTGTTGGAAGAGCATGAAACGTTCTACAAATGCAAGGTAAGACCATTGCAAGGAACGTGCACAAGCAAGGTAAGACCATTGCTGCTACGACTGTACACCGAAGCAAGGTAAGACCATTGCCCCCGTCTCTCATTCACGCGCTTTGGACTGCATGCTTCCAGGCACTCCTGGCGCGATGTTTCGCCTGGCGCAGCATATCATCATGAGCCGTGTTGGCCTGGTCTGGTTGCCCACGGCAAATGTCGCAGGGTCCGCACTGGCGGTCTGCCCAGTTCCCTGCCATCTCGGTCACGTGAGCACATTGAACTGCCTCTATGAGGCTGGAGTGCTGTAAGGCGTGCTGGAGGAGAAACGCCATGGCCACGGAGCGGTGGTTGCCGCTCTTACAGAAGCAGAGGACAGCGACCGACCTGCGCTGACCCGCGGGGACGTCGGCTTCTGACGCGAGACGGACCGCGCGTCGCACAAAGCGGACAAAAAAGTGGAACCAGGACGGCTTCGATTCCGCCACCATGCGTATGATCTCGGGGTGGTAGCCTACGTGGTCCCGCAGGGTGTTTGAACTGAAAGGGTCGTGGAAGACCCGAGTGTCCAACGCAACCTGCTCCGTGCTGTTGCGCGGGAAAAGGTCCACCTCGCGCAACATCTCAATAAGTAGGTTCTGGTCCAGCGTCCGCTCTCCTTGGGAAGTTGCCCTCAGCCTCATTGCTTTGCATTTTTGAAAAAGGGCTTTTGGCAGGCGGTTCCTGCCGCTGGCCGGGCCCAAGGTGAACTGCAGGTTAGCCGCCCCACATGTCACAATGTCCACGTAGACGCGGTTCCGGTTGGGAGGTAAGACCATCCCAGCCGTAGGCCCGTCCGCTCCACGTGGCTTCGCTGTAGCCGGCTCGTCTGCGGACTCCATCGGCGCATCGACCTCCTCCTTCCTGGCTTGGACGGGCTCCGGCACCTGGTCGACCTCCATTGCCATCGCCTCATCGACCTCCCTTGTCTTGGCAGGGTTCTCGCCTGTCAATCCCGAACTCGAAGAGACTTCGGAGGTAAATTCCTTTTTGATCTGGGAGGTAAGACCATCCCTGATCCTTCCAGCAGCCAGCAAGGAGCAGCTGGAGAAGTCGGGGCCACCCAAATCTTTCAGCAACAGCAGCGCTTTGCTAGGTTGAGGAATCGTGTCCGTATTCCGGAACCACCGCCCCTCAAGAAGCTGCTGTTTGCTGACGTCCCTGTTTTTTTGATTTTGCATCGACCACGCGAGAAGGCAGCCCGCGTGCTGGCTCTTTGCAGTGGATTGGGCAACTTTTTCGTCTCTGTCGTTTGGGATCGACCACCCGCAAAAGAAGGAGAGTCGATAGGCCCAGCCCGGCGCCTTGTGCTTCGCCCGCTCAAAGAAGTCAATGTCCTGCGCATTCAGGGTTTAGGGCTTCGGGTCTTTTTGGCTCTTGGAAAACTTGAATTACAGGGTTTAAAGTCTATTATAGGGTTAGGGTCTGTGCGTGTTACGTGAGGGGTTTAGGGCTTCGATCGGGTTTAGGCATCTTTTGACTCAAACATCCTGGTAGCCGGTCGGGTAGAACGACTCGTCGTAGCCGTTGAGTTGCAGGAAGGTTTCCTCACGTGAAGAACTTCCGGCACTTTATAAGTTCGGGTACCCTAAACCCTATACCACCCTAAAGCCCTATAAACCCCAAACCCTAAACCTGCAACCCTTGCGGTCCTGTGTCACGCCTATGCGGCCTGTGCAGCCACTGTCTCCTCCTGCCACGCAGCGGAAAGCAAAAATCTGCGCCGGCTCACTCGTAATGCCAGCGTGCACTTGGTTGTTGTTGGCAACGAGGCCAACAAAATTGCCAGACAAAAGGTTATCGGCGTCCACGTTAACCAAAATGTGCCTGCGTGTGTCCGTGCCGCCAGCTGTCGCTGGCGCCACGTCGGCCCAGGTCTTCGGCTTCCTTGTCCAGTCCGTGTCCCAGGAGGTAAGACCATCCGAGGACACAAAGCCTTGGCCCCAAGGCACCAACAATGCCAGCTTGTGAGCTGCGTTCTTGCAAACGGAGGAATGAAAATGCTTCAAATCGCTGGTGAAGCGGACCACCAAGAACCCGCTTGCCAGCTCTTCCTGGAAATTTTCTTCGATGAAATCTCTTGTCTCCTTCCCATCGTTGCCGGCATCATCATACAAAGAAATGCAGAAACGCACATTCTGCCTGTGGCTTCGCTGGAGCAGAATATTTGCTGGCAGCGCTTTCCTGAGCTGCCATCCACGGGCGAAGCAGGCGACGCAGCAAGAAATCCTCAAGTTCAGGGCCACCCTGGGCAGTGGCTCCGCCATGGGAACGCTCCGCACCAGGTTGACAGCCTCTTGGCTGAGACCATTCTCGTCTCTGGCTGCCTCAATTTGACTGAAGGCCAAGTCTCTCAGTCGTTCCCATCTTGTCTTGGGCGGAGCAGGCGCCGTAGTCGCAGCATCCTCTTTCGCAGCATCCTCTTGCGCTTCTTCGTCTGAGGTAAGACCATCAGACGCCTCATCCTGCTCTACATCATCGGGCTCAGCATGCCCTCCTGCCTCAGACAGTGACTCCTCCGAACCGCCCCAGTCCACGGAATCGTCGTCCTTGCCTTCTTCCTGGCAAAGACAATGTATTCGATTATAAGAGAAAGCGGACTCACAAGAGTTAAAAGTAAGCCCTAAACCTTAGGACCTAAAACTGGTTAAAAAAATCAAAGGTCTAGGTTTCAGGGCTCGGACTTTTAAAACCTTTGTCAGGCCTCCTCAGCCTCCTCCTCTGCGGCAGCGTCGTCCTCCTCCTCCAGGACCCGCTGGGCTGGCGGGCAGCTGTGCCAGGCCACCTTGTCATCTTCCAGATCTGCCAGCAGACCTTGCTTTGCCAGCTTGTTGGTCTCCCGCACAAAATGCCGCCATGCGACCTCAGCTTGAAGGCCCTTTATGACCAAGCGGGCTCTCTTGCGGCCAAAGCGGTCCCGCGAGGTCGCCTTCATGGCGATGTGGCAGAGAAGCTCCTCCTGGATGTACGTCGCAATGGGGCTGTATGACCGGTCTCTGTAGCTGCTCATTGCCAGCGGGACCAGCGCCGCGACGAACTGACCAGGTGGAAACTTGCTGGACCACTCAGTCTTCCGGCTTGAAGTGGCGGTGCCAGGGGTAAGACCACCTGGCGACCGTTCTTGCCAACCGCTCCACCAGCCACCCCAATCATTCCAACCGTCGTCCCAGCTCCAACCGTCGTCCCAGCTCCAGCCGTGGTCCCAGCTGCGGCCCCAGTCCCTGCCCCAGCTGCCGTACCAGTCGCTGCCCTGGCCGGCGCCCCAGCCTCGGCTGCCGCCTCGGCCTGCCATGTTTTGCAAAGGCCGGTGTGAAACGGAAACTTAGCGCTTGAAGCTTTGCAGGTCTGTGGTTCTGAGTCATGGATTGTAAGGCTATGGCTAAATTAATACTCCATGCTCCTGCAAGTACATGTTTTCCTATTCGGCACTGTTCCTGCAAACCCGCGGGCTCAGGGTCTTAAAGGGTTTAATAACGGTTTGACCTAGAAAATAAGCTTTTATAGGGTTGTTCGAGTCATCCTTAAAAGTTCATCTTTAAAGGATCTCTTGTCTAGCCCTCTGGTATTGAATTTGCCTGAGCCGTGACATCGAAAGCAGCAGATGCAGTTCAGGGTTTTTGGGCCGTGTGCACAACAGCGGCAGATCGAAGGCTTCGAAGCTTCTTAAAGATTACTGCTTCAGGTTTATGGGCTTTAATTCAAAGCGTACTTATATGGCTGAACGGACTCATTGAAAAATGGGTTTCAGCTTCAAAAACCTGATGGCCTTATGATAAAGACCTGAAACCTTAACCCAACACCCTTGAGTCCTCAATCTTCTGGTAAAAGCAAAGTAGGAAGGGACGTTACCCCGAAAAGGTTTTGGGTTTGAAAGGGGTTTGGGTTGAACTGACCTCCTCCCCCCCCAACAACAACAACAGCAACAAAGAGAAGCGAAGGACTTCCCACACGACCCAAAGTTCCATTTTGGCCTCCTGCCAACGACGTGAGCAAGCTCTGAAACAGAGGTAAAACCATCTGCTGTGCAAAACTGAAATTAACGGTTGCCCGCCCGATTGCGAGCCCACTCTTGTGCAACACACAGAGAAGCAACATAGTGCGACAATAGCAAACGTTCAGCCATGAGCTGCAGACGCAGCTCGGCCTTGCGTTTTTTCCACTCGAGCAGCTCTTGCTCCAAGTCGCGGATGCGTTGCTGCTCTGCTTTCTCTGGGCTTATACAAAACGCGACCAGCCTTCTCAATTTGGGCGGTCTATCATTCTGGCCCTGTCCGTTCTGGGCAACAGATGTAAAACCATCTGCCTGTTCGTTCTGGCCAGCAGAGGTAAGACCATCTGCCTCTGCTTCCACTATATTCGCTGGCTCTGAAATCAAAGGCAGCAGCGAGTCGTCCATACCAGGCGGCGCTTCCTGGGCCGGCTCGAAGTCGCGCAAGTTGTCGTTAATCCAACGTTGCACTGCCATGCTGCTTGCCCGTCCTAAAATGAGCTGCGAGCCCTGTCACCAAATGAGCTGCAGGCAAAATTAATTTACCTAAAGTGGGTCGACGGGCCTTGGGTTGGAAAAATCGCAGGGGAGAAATCGGCGGTGGGGCAACTTACCGAAGGG